ACCAAAAAAAAAAAAAAAAAAAAAAAAAAAAAAAAAAAAAAAACAAAATAACAAAAAAAAAAAAAAAACACATCCTGGAGGCGGGGAGGAAAGACATCACATGATGTCGCGCATGCGTGGTGCTGGGTGACATCACGCGCCTGTTGGGGGGCACGTTTTTTCTTGCCTCGGGCGCTAAAGGAGCTAGCTACGGCTCTGGACTTGTGTCTTTTTTCAACCTGACTATGTAATAAAGATAATAATAAAGATATGTCTTGTGGGTATTTTTTTAACTTTAACTGTTTATACTGCATAGATATTGATTGTTTTAGGTTGTCATACCAGGTGGTCAGTAAAAAATGCTCTGTCAATCAATTCTTATAGTTTTATGTGTAAAATTCGTTGTGGGAGGTTGGCAACCCTGGCCACAAAATACAAGAGTTTGTAACATATGGTAGGCAAATGATAACCATATGAGGGAATGGACTGACACTTTACAAATTATTGCAGTAAAATATTAATGGTGACCATTAATATTTTGGTGTGACCATATCTGTTGGTGTGACCATATCTGTTCTAATCTATAGTATAATCTAAATTTGAGAAAACGGGTAGATTAAAAGCACTCAAATGGTCACAAATGGCCCTGAAGATGTAAAGATGCTGAGAAAGTTTTAACACATCAATAGATGAGGGTAGCTTGGACACATGTTCTGCATTAGAATTCATAGGGGAAGTATTATGCTCTTTTAATGATGGGGATACAATTACTTTATGCTCTATATACTAAGGTCATATTCTTCAGACTGTTGCTGCTTTAAATGCTTCAGTATTTCCCGGGAAAGCAGGTGCTCACTATAAGCTTCACCTTTAGGACAATCTAAAATAAAATATGACAGATTATCACTTTCAGTAAAAAAGAAACTCCACTAAGCATTATTGATATTTAACAATACCACATACCATAATTCTATTCTGAATATAATTACAACTGATTACTTATGCTCCAAATTTATGCTCCAAAGTCTGATAGAAATTAAAGATGCATTATATCATCACTGAAAGTACTTTTACAGATGACCCAATGTGCATACATGACTTACAAAAATGTACCTGCCTCATTTTTTTTCCAGCAGAGAGGCTGGTCACATTATCACATATCCTATGAAAACGACAGCTACATTTGGACACTAAAATATCTGGTTAACTAAAACTCTAGGGCCATTCACACATACAGCAGTGATCTGCGTTTTACAGCACCAGATCGATACAGGGCACCCTACCTCTCTTTTACCATACCAGGCCACATGCCCTCGACATTGGGAGGGACCCTTGCCAGCCCCCCTTCCCCTTTCAAGGCAAATTATCCTTAAGTTGAGGGGGACAATGAACTCATCCCAATATCTCTGGCCTGGTGGATGTGGGGTGGGGGACTTATTGGAATCTGGAACCCCCTTTGAGATAAGGAGGGTTCCCAGATATATGGCCCTCCTTCTGTGTAAATGAGCAAGAAGTATATAGCAAAATATTAAATAAATACACAGACACCATGAACTTTTTTAATGGTGTGTTTGTGTACTATTTGCCTTTTTTTAGAATGTACCCCTTACTGATTCACATAGGGGGGGATCTGTTAGGGTCCCCTTATCTTAAAAAGGGACTTCCTGATTATGATAAGTCCCATCCTCGCAGACACCAACATTCACCCCCAACAAGGTAACCTCCCAGTGGTTAGACCCCTCATGCTTCATACTAGACCCTTATCAAGAATAAAGGCCTAATGTGGATTTGGGGGTGGGGGGGTTGACGACGTCTTCATACCGTTTCTATTTTTTTTCATAAAAGGTACTCTGTGCACTCTCCCTTTAAAAAACAAAATTCATACCAGACCCTTAGCCACTGGATTAGAGCATTTGAGTTTTATTTATAGTGGAGGTGGAAGCTACCATATGGGAATTTTTATTAGCTGACTGGAGTTTAGTTGTAAACAATATTCTGCTTTTTGATTAGATCAAAAATCTTCTTTTAATACTTTCATCTTCTTAGGTTGTACTTCATTATCTGCATTGGAGCTCAGAGTAGTTTAGAAAGTCAGTTACAAACATATCTACTGGTATACGTGAGAGTGTGCATGGCAAGTAAATACATTTCCTTTCCACATTTGTTCAGACTAACATATATTCTTTTCCTCTTAACCTGATGACCCTCGCTGTTTGAGGAAAAACACAATAGTACAAAACCACAGGAATTACGGAAATAGAAATGCCTTCCAGATGCTTCAAAATACAAATCTGTATGAAGCACAGGGGACAAGCAGTCACATAGCATTTACTCTAAGCTAAAATGCTGTGATGTGCTGTTGTAAAGTATTTTTGAAACCAAATAAGAAAAAAAAACTTTTAGTAAATGTTCAAGAGCAACAAAATAAGGCTTCAATCAAAATATTTAAAATTGCCATTTAACTGGTAAGTTTATAAAGCAGTGATTGTAACATTCACCAAACATTAACCGTAGGTGAGTCTTCCAGATTCATGTTTTAAATGACAGTGATTGATTCACCACTAGTAAATGTTTTGTAAACGGCTTCATACACATGCAGCAAGTCTAAATTTCAAATACGAATGCTGCTTCTATTTCTATGACTGTTATCTTTATTTTTTTTTAAATTTAATCTCACAGGGTGGCAGGGGGTTAAGGCCTCATTCACACGAGAAATGGCCAGCACGTACAGCTCTGTACTGCGTGCACGGCCATATCGGGCAGCTCCCAGGAAGGACAGGTGCTGCGTGTGATTAGTACGCAGCCCCTGTCCTTCTCTATGGGAATACATGGCCGTACGCCGCCCTACGCTCACCTCAAGTGCAGCTGTTCGTGCTGGCTGTTTCTCGTGCGAATGAGGCAGAAAGGGTGGACTGCGTAATTAAATAAAACTGTTGCAGGTAGCGGGATGCATGTGGGGCAAAGCATGAAGCTTTATAAATAGGCCCATGTGACAATGCCTCACCATGACTCCAGTTCTGATTGACACCAAAATAATTGCTAGTTCCTGAGAAGAGGTCGCCTCTGCCCTGGAAGTTGCGCTATTTCTGAGGGTCAGGCAGTTGCCACCTTTAGATGTGGGTAGGATCCTTATCGGTGACAACAGCCATCCTGTTTTCCTTTAAAGCAAAACTGTCAAAAGTGAAATACATTTGCTGCCATTGCTGGCCTCTTTCTGACAATACTGATTCCCTGGCTGTCGCTAACTTTCTGAGCCAGAAACCTGGATTAGACATGTAGTATACTGTACTTGCATTCTTGTTAGTGGTCAGTGAATCAGAAAGTATTAATGCCAGACAATTACAGGCAGACAATAAGCATTTTCTTAAAGTATGTATTTCGATCATTACAGGTTTATTTTACTAAATTAGTAAAACTGGACAGGATTAAACTGTTCTAGTTTGCAAACACATTCAACCCAACTTTGAACATATATGTTATGACTGCAGACTTTCTAATATAAAAACAAATGATGTACCCCAAACAGATGGGTTACTTTACCGTCATAAATGACTAATCGAAAAACATTTGGGCATTGGAGTGAATTTTCAAGGATGTCCTTCAGAGTGCGACAAAAGAGTTTGGCCTGTTCAATGCGATCATCTTTACTGAAGGCAGCACTGGCTACATCTGACATTTCATACAGGGATGCTAAAGGTGTAGCATATTCCACAATACAGTAATATGGCTGGGATAAAAAAAAAGACGACAATAAAACAGAGCTGAATTAAGTACTGTTATAACAGTCCAACAGAAAACACAAGCACAACATTTTCAACATTTTCTTTTCATAACCTGAGCCTTATGATGAACAGATGCAGGGTCATCCCTACCTTTTTCACCTCCAAGAAGGGGGCCGAGCTGTCAGCCGGGCAGGAGGCGGCAGACAGCCGAGCGGGGGGCTGGGGGCAGTGGAAGGGAGCGGGCAGCCAAGCTGTCAGTCGGTGGGGCAAGCTGTCAGCTGGGCAGCCATGCTGTCAGCCGTTGGGGGTGCTGTTAGTCGCCTGTGCTGCCGCCCCCCTCCCTGCACCTGCCACCCCTCAATGGGATGCCGTCTTAGGCTGCCTCATTATGGGGAGGCTCCTGAACAGATGGAGGTATGGTAGTGCTACTGAAAATATAAGGGCCAAATATCTGTGTTCCTTATAGAATTGTGTAAACACATAAAGACTGCTTTACACAAGCATCCTAAAAATGACAAGGCAGGACAAGTAGGTATAACTATGATAAAATGGCATAGATTGATTCATTTATTCAGCATGGCTTCACTGATATTATATCATTCTGTTTAATATAGTTTTTATTATTTCAAATATACACTCTTATACATATCTTCAAAATAGAGATATTATAACATAGTTTTATCCCATAAATAACAGACTATACATCTCTCCATATAAACATATCTACTACATTGCTTTTACTGTACATTTTACATTACTCAACCTCATATCATCCATTACTTCTCTTCTACACTCTTCTCACATTTATTCTACTACCATATCTTCTTCTGGAAAAAGGAGGGGGAATAAATTACTAAGTGAATTTATGTAAACCCCTTCCTTGTTAAATTCTTCAAACCATGTCCTATGACCCAACTTGCCCTCTCATTCCTTCCTTTATAAATATTCCACACACTACTTTATGTTCTCTCCTTATACAGTATGTGGTCTATACTACATTGTCTATAAACCATAACCTTCTACTTTAGTTATGTTGTTTCCCCTTTATTCCCTATCGCCCCCCTACCCTCCCACTAACTTGTATTCTCAATGTGCCTTAATGTGTATCCTATATCTAAGAATATACCCCCTAAAATTAAGTTACAAACCCTCTGAAAGACTACTCTCCCCCCTAACCCAATTAACTCTCCAGAATTTATGTGCTTAATCCTCACTCAATCTCCCCTCCCACCAGCATACTATCCTCTTTTTTCTCTATACTTCCAAACTTACAGGTCAAATGCTATAAAGTCTAATGAAAAATAACTCAATATATTATTTATTTATACCTCTCTGGGATTTATCTAAATACCGTTTAGCCCTTGTATATATTTACTTATAGTTTCTATGACTCTATGGGTACTGCATCTCTATACCCCTTCTTTTCCTCTTTATCCTTCTTTACCAGTCTCCTAAATTCCTCTGACTGTCTGTATACTTCCCACTTCTCCCATATCTTATCATATTTATCCTTCCTGTCAACGTACCTTGCACTCAATTCCTCCATATATTTTATTTCTTCCATTATGTTCCCCCAGCTCTCTACTGAAGGTGGGTGCACAGATTGCCAGCCACGTGATATATTAACTCTAGCTGCAGCCAATACAAATCTTAAGATATCTGTCTTTATCTTTTTTATGGGGCCAGGAATTAATGATAATAATGCGATTGAGGGATCATTTTCCATGTTTGGGGTCCCTATGGAACGATATACTTCGAATATTGATTCCCAGTACGACTGCAGTCTAGGACAGCTCCACCAGATATGCAAGTACGTTCCCTCCTCAATACTACATCTCCAACATCTATCTGACATTTCTGGGTTTATATGTTTAATTCCTTCTGGGCACCTGTACCATCTAGACAATATTTTATATAGTTTTTCCTGATAAAATGAGGATGTGTAAGATATATACATCATAGTAAATATTCTTCCCCAATCCTTTTCTCAAATCTCTCTCTTCTTGTGCATCATCTTTAGAAGAGGCTTCCTTCTGGGACGACAGCTATGCAGACCAATTTGATGCTGTGTGTGGCGTATGGTCTGAGCACTGACAGGCTGACCCCCACCTCTTCAACCTCTGCAGCAATGCTGGCAGCACTCATACGTCTATTTCCCAAAGACAACGAGGCCTGTTCCGAGTGGAACCTGTCCTGTTAACCTCTTCACGACTAACAAAGTACAGTGTACATCGCTAGCAACATTCCATTCGCTAGCCGACGGGACTCTTTTTAAACTTGTAAAGCCGACTGTCAGCTTGACAATAGAAGCGATTCTGGCGACTCAGCTGTCGCCAGATCACTTCTATGGCCCGGTGAAGGGCCCCACCCCCCCCCGTCCGACACCCCCGCCGTGCTTCCCGGGCTCCGTTGCCTCTCCTACGGGACCGGCTTCTCTGGTGTTGGCGGGGAGCTGGGGAGAAGATGGACGAACCTCCGTTTGTCGATCCCCTCCCCATTCTATGGGACCGGGAACGATGTAGATTGCATCACTTCCAGTCCCATAGCTGTCAGTGCTGGGCTCCTGAAGCTCAGCTATAAGCTATTAAAGTGTGATCTGTACTTCAATAGCTTATTTGGAGTGTAAAGGTGACACTGGGGGTCTCTTGGACCCCCAGCATCACCTTAAAGAGTACCTGTCACCACCATGTAGATAGAGATGTTTCCCTACAGCACCACCTTATATCCAAATTTGAGATGGCAGATAGGTAAGTCAATAAATGTAATGCCTGTGTGGCAGAACCCTCCCCGTCTGATATCAACGGATACCACTATTTTGATTTTCAGAAGAAAGCAACAAGACCAGCTCTCCTCTCTGACACCCTGTCACAGGCGGCTGAGCAGGGCCGTCTTTAATATTGATTGGACCCTGGGCAAACATTCATTTTCTTGACCCATCCCCCCCCCGGACTCTACCGGCAGCAAACGGCAGAGGTGGAGCAACACTATGCTGATCACATAGTAAACAGAATGGTGCTGCAATGGTTGCTGCCTTTTCTTCAAGCGAAACACAAACAGTCTAGCGGCACACTGCAATTCTTTTTGGGAATAAACAGGAGAGAGAGAGAGAGAGAGAGAGAGAGAGAGGGGGAGAAGA